TCTCGTCCAGACGGATTATATATGCTCCTGGTCGCTGCACACCACTATAACTACAATAAACCATGGAACAATTACCTATCTCAACAATGGTACAAGAAAAAATATAAAAGCTAACTTGGAAGCACCATGAAAGACATATTTGCAATAATATTGTTGAAGGACACCTCCCTGCTTTAATTTACAATCCTCGACGAATCACTGTGGCAACAAGTGATCATATCTAACGACACGCCATGTGGCTTAACTTTACTCTTCAATGAAATTAATTTCCAAGGAGAATTTATCACTTTTCTATACCTTTACGAATTTTAACACCTGAAAATCATGATGAGGCAGCCTGGACTTCGTAGCGACCTCAGCATAAGCTTTTCTTTAGAGATTAAAACTAGTCTGATATGACTATATAAATGATCTATTTATCTATGCTGCACTTTACGCACATTCTCTCTGGTTCGCTAACGTTGTATGTGATCCGAGCGTTCACACCGCTGTCTTTATCAGTGGCTACAGCCGTGAAGAACGCTTCTTTGCGAAGTGGTGGGATTGGCTCCAGGTCTAAATCTATGTTGACTTCTTTCAAAAATGGACAGTGATCATTGTAGTCTTCAACAACAACCTACAGAAGCACAAAATACCAGGGATCCAAACCAAACAGTTGATCATTTTAGAAATTATTGTATTGCACGCGGGTGGGACCAGAAAGGATAAAATATCACAACCTTCACAAAAATTTGCATGTGTTAACCTCCCACTTCATTTAGCACAAAGATCTTGGTATAATACTTCCAGGGATGACATTTCATCCCCTTCCTTTTCACTTCTTCTCCTTTATCTGTTTTAATTATCATCGTAAAGTTATAAAACTATCATCGTAAAATAAATGCTAAGATTTTTTCCAAAGATTTCAGTCGAAAGCAATTTTTTGTGTGCATTAAAATGTTTGTAGTTGCGAGGCGAGTTAGTGACGTAAGAAAGAGGGGGAAAGGTGGGGATTACATGTATCTAGGGAATGACCATTAGCTACAAGCTCTTCTTACAACTACCACGAAAACGAAAAAAAACTAATAACTTACTTTGATTGAAATGTTGCCTGTCCATCCTTTAACAGTATCGGTTATCCTTAGGTATAACAGATAATATGAGGTGTACTCAAAATCCAAAGGCTCTTTCAGCGTTAGTTTAGCTATAGATGTGGCAATGGAGGTGAATGACTGAATTCCTGGGGAGTCAAAGTGAAAGAGATAAATATGAGTTTCATGTAACAAAACATGCCTTAGAGTCGAGCAGCACATTTTGTCTGTTTAGTATAAAAATGGTACACGAAACCTATCTGTTATGACTGATACGAGAAGGAAACAGATTCAAAATGAAGCCCAGAATACTGTTTTCTACAAAGTTTCTCTTCGATACTTTCAGACTTGATATTATGATTGTTATCCTCAGTCGGTTTGCAAAAGTAAAAGTTTAAACCTAAAAGGATATTGCTCCCAATTACAATTAATTTCCAATGCCAGTGCTAATGTTGGTGCACACATCACGAGTCACCCTGTCTGAAATATAACGTTAACTTGGTCCACACACATTAAGCACGTCTTGAAACAGACCTGGTTTTATCATTGCTTCTTACCTGAATTAACTGAAGGTATTGGAAGTACTCGATCATCAGTAGCATTGGGACACAACACAATTGACTCTCCGTCAAGGATAAAAGTGGGCGGAGAAGGAGTGGTGGGTGCAGATGGTGCTGCGTAGGCCCCATTTTTAATTTCGAATCGGTCTTGCTCATTTCCTTCCAAAATGTCGACGTTGTAAGGCCCAGACGAGAAAGCGTCTCCAATATGAACGTTCTAGACCAGATGCGAAGAAATCAGTGAGTGAACGACAATATATATGTGTTAGATAGAAAATCGTGTCACACGAAGTTATTCGCGCAGCTTACACCAGTGTTGATGATGTGTTTCAGTGTTTACGACGTCTTTGAGGAGATAAACCACTCGATTATCAGTGAGTTTCGACTTATCGCCGACAGTATTCCGAATAAGTTCGAAGTCGCTTTGCGGTATGAAGTACACAAGTTTGAAACGATAGGAGTTCCCAAAGTTTGTTTTTAAGTTGATAGTTAACACAAATAACAATGATAAAACTAAAGTCGAAGACTGACCAACCCCTAACTCATATCAGAGTCTGTAAGAGACACCCTTTTCTTAATATTTCTTCGTATGGTTGGGTAGAAACAAGAAAACAAACATTTCACCTGCACAATAACGCCAACATGTGCGTTCTCACTGACAGTAGCCACATAGTCAAGAGGTGGAAGGAATGAAGCGCCACTTGACTGGAATAAAATGTGTGAGTTGCATAGGAATCTCTCAGCGACGAATACATCCAAACGGTATGGTTCATTCACCTTCAGGGAACGGCAATAAAACGCTAAGAGTTAGAATGAAGGTTTGTTTTGAAAGAAACTGATAAACTAAACTACTCTCACCTAAATTAAATTAGATCATTCAAAAATAGGAGGTGAAATCGTGGTCAGTGGCTTCATCTCAACATTCTTATGATTGTATTGTCGTTTACCCTTCGCTACATCCCTAATTGTACGCCAAACTTCACCCGCCTTGCTATTTCATGAAGAAACCGAATTGTCCGCACTAGAGTAACTTTAAGTAACACCAGACAGAATTAGACGTCTAAACAGGGATTGTATAATCAAGAAGAGGGATTGTATAATCAAGAAGAGGGATTGTATAATCAAGAACAGGGATTGTATAATCAAGAACAGGGATTGTATAATCAAGAACAGAGATTGTATAATCAAGAACAGGGATTGTATAATCAAGAAGAGGAATTGTATAATCAAGAACAGGGATTATATAATCAAGAACAGACTAAACCAGATTAAATCAGACCGGCGAAAGTGAGAACTGCAAACAAAATGGATCAAATCAGACCAAAACGGATCTGACCACACCAACTTAAGGCAAATAAGAACAGAACAGACCAAACCAGCCATAACCAGACTAATCTTTAGAAGACAAAACCCAAACATGCGTAACCTGCCTAACCTTCACTGCCAAAGATCGACCTGATTGGTTCTCTTAAACAAACCGAACGAAAAGAGGCTGGGCTAAACAAGTCTAGATCAGACTGGATAAGTTTAGTCCTTACTTGACTAGAACCGATTGGGATGAAATAATCTAGACTAGAAATTGACTAGACTAGTCTAATGGTCCAGTTATAACGAGACAAACCAAATCAGGCTATACTATACTGGCATGACTAGATGGGACTCGTCTACTCTAGATTTGACAAGAATAGACTATAAAAGACTAAACCAGACTGAACTGGACCAAAACAGAACATCAGAGCCTGAAAGAAGTAGTATAGATCGCACAAGAACACTACAAATAAAGTATGAAAAGAACAGAAAAGGGAATTCCAAACTCAGATCACAACATTTCTCAATGAAGTTATTACCTTAAGAGATAAGCTAACTTTCTCTGCTTGTAAAGCCCCTGTGACTTGGCATTTTCCTCCGATTACTGTTCCATTTTGAGGAATAACAGACTCAGTCGAAGCTGCAAGATCAGTAAAACAAACTTGTAACACATACTACAATATGAGATGTCACTGTAAGTTAACTTTTGTAAGACATGGTTAAAACTCACCTATATCGAGTTTCTAATATAACGTGGCTGGATTTCGACTGCATCATAAATAAATACATTTTCATTTTCGTTTTTATAAAGATTTTGCCAATCCACGGGTCATTTTTATGCAAGAGAAAGTGAAACCCGAGTGCCACTGTTTGACTTCCAGAAAGCATAGCCCAGTGGTTTAATTGAAAACAAAACAGCAAAATGTAAAACAGGTCCGTAAAGCGTGTACATTAAACACAACACAGGTGGAAATTAAAGGTACAACAGCGTCCGTGCACCATCCCTCCCATTCCCCATCCCCTTTCTCATGAATGGTACTCTACTTTGCTAATTTAAGAACTACCTCTATGGTGTCAACTTAAAAAAAAAGGCTAGTTCTTTTCCGCTCCATCTTTAGCCTTATTCTCACGGCTTAATGATGACCTTTTCTTCAGACAAGGGTATGATGATTTCTATGATCTCCCATAATCCCACCCACTCACTCTTGGTAACATTCCCCAGACCCCCTCTCGACGGGGGTAAAGTGAATCTGCAAACGTTTTAGATCGTATCAAATTAAGTAGGAGTGAACTGTATCACAAACTTTGAGTCGTACCAACATCAGCTAAACTTATAGAACGACATGGAACATCCGTTTCTGATGGATCAGTAAATATCTGCACCACCAGTTTCTTGTCAATGAATACCCACAATTCTTCACCGCCAGAGAAGGAAAAAATTTCATCACCAGAAAAGTTGAATCCGGTACTTATTGCAGCAGTGAAACTGAAAAATTGAAATTAAATCATGTAGCATTCGCTATACTTCTGTTTATTTCATTGTCACACATTTACTATGTCTACTCAGTTGTTTCCAATCTTTAGGGAATCCTAGACATCCCATTAGGTTTGCTATATCTTCCACCCCCTTTTAGTCTCCTCCCATACTAAACGTCTAAGACTTGAAGTCTCTTTGAGGTCATTAGGCCCATGGGTTTCAATAGGAATAGAAACGTCAACGAGGTGAGCTGCAAGCTGAAAAAGGAACATAGCAGGTAAAAAAGACTTGACACAATTCCTTGCATTTCATTCTGACAGTAGTCTTATAGCTAAGAAACACACCCAATGACAAACAAAAGGCAATTGAGTCTAAAAAAATCCATACCCATAGTTCCTAAGTGCATTAGTATAGCAGTCCCTCTGTCCTTCTGCACCCCATCCACGGCCATCAACTGGGAAGAACTTGTCGTTGTAATGCCGGAACACCGTATTCCCATTTGCATCTCTCTCCAGCTGTTTTCCTAGCTCGAACTTCTCTTCATAATGATAGTTCTGGCTGGAAAAACGTCTAAACCACTGAGAGAAACTATCAGAGGTAGGGCTGCTTGATATGGACAACCAGCTGCCATAAGGGCTCTGAACATATTGGGGATTTCGATACAGATCACCTCTGAATGCACCAAGACCAGTGAAATCAACATGGGAAGACCTGAACAAAATTTTACAGATGTTACCCACATGAAAATTGCAACAAATATCAAACCCTTAGAGGTCTTGAAGTGCTCCTATTAGAAAACGAGGTAACAAAAAGCCAGTTAAGGATAATTTCATTAAAAGTACGGAAATCATTCTAGTTTGTTTGTTTGTTTGACTGATATTTTGAAAAGACAACTTTTCTCAAAATAACATTCAAGTTTAGAGCCCTCAAAGTAACCAAAATAGCAAACGCGACTACAGCTAAGCGGGGTCAAAGTAAAGTTATAGCGTCTGAGGTACTTCAATCTGTGATCACCACACCACATTTGAGTATAATAAAATTACATATTACTACGAGGCAATGTGGAACAGTTTCTTCTCAGTGGTCTGACACCTTAATGCCATTAAACTGAATATCTTATTACTCAAACAACCATCTCTTCTATACATTTTGACTAACGATGGCGTATATACTAATGGAGAATTGTCATAACAAAAAGCATTCCAAACGATGAAAATATTACAAAGAAATGGCAAGGTCAGTCGCGATCCGCCCTTCTAAGTATTGTCATGAATCACATCAACTTACTGGAAATCGTAATAAATAATGTCCAAGTAGTAACTGGAACTGTTTAGCGATACATTGGTCACAGGAGCTGATTGAAAGAAAACAAAAACATCAGTGAGTTGAACGCTCACTTAAATTTTAAAAGAAAAGGTCATTTGCGAGTTCTTGATAGTCTCACTGTGAAACTGAGGCCAGAGAGGGTAAGAGTTGATTTCTGTATCGAAGGCCTTGCATTGAGCTTTGTTTCAGGACAGGCCTGGGTATCCGGGAAAATGATTATTCATTAATATTTTGAGAGCTTTTTGCTGCTTTTGTCGTCATTCTTCATCAAGGATCTTTCAAGTGCCTTTTTTTTCTTGCTTTAGTAAAATTTAAAAAATCTTATACTGCAAACTTTTATTAAACACTCCCACAACAAATCTCAAAATACTGGAACTAAGAAATTATTCCTATTTGGCCCCACAAGCGCATCAGCATATCATGAAAACAACTTTTTGGACAGCCTCAGGCACTGAGATTTGGATGCGATAAAAGCTTGAGGACATTTTTTCTTCTTCTGCTCCAATTTTCGGAGATTTCAGGTGAGCGCAAAGTTCGGAAAACACGTGCAATTAGTATAACATCAATACCGATACCCGAAATGTCTTGAGCATAAGAATAACTTTGCAACCGTTTTCTTTCGGAGGAGGTCTGTAGAAGATCTCAGGTCTTGAATTTCTCTCTCGATAAAATTTAGGCAAAACGTGGAGGAGGGAATAATATTCATTGCGACACCCTTCCAAGCGTATACTTACCTTTTCCTTCTAATGTAGTAACAGTTGCTTCCTCACTTTTAGGGGAGGTCTGAGTTTCAATTTCGCCTTGAGTACTGTTATCTTGGTTTGTCCCATTATAGGCTGTTACTGTCATGGTTACGTAGCACACATAGTCAATCCCTGCTTGGACACCATCGGCTTGAACAAACAAGATAAACTCGCTTTGTGTGGAGCCAAAGAGTGACGGAGCGTCTGCGCTGTCGCACGTTGAGTTGTACCCCACACTTATGACCTATGATAAACAAAATCGAATAGTATGAAAAGCGCTTTGATATTAAACATGGTACGATGTCTAAGCAACATCAAGAGTACTTGTCAAAGGTCCAAGGGAAACCTCTTGAGCCAAATAACTTCCACCATTTCATCATATTTCCAAGACAGTTCGTCGGTAGTTATGCCTCTCACTTCGGCACAGCGAAGCACCACTAGAGCAAAGTTTATAGCACAAGAATGACCCTGCCAGGGCTTGCACCAGGACCTCTCCATTTGGAGGAGAGTGCTATATACCAGCCCACCGCCTCGTACATAATTATGAGGTAATAACCATGACAAGGGTGATAATAGCAGTGACAACAGTGTTAAGGCAGGTGACAATCTAAGAGTTTAATATCAACAGAGAGAGGAAGAAAGAACTGCAAAGCCAGACACTTTGTCAATTTTTTGCTAATTCTTTTTTTTTTCTGGAATAAGTGTGTTCAATTATAGCTAATTGTGGGTTTAATTTCATTTTTCTTTGACTAACAGTCACCAATAAGCGAGGATAATACAATTTTAAAACTTATGGAATTTTCAGGTTTAGGGGAAAACCTGATTTTCTGGTGTTTTTGAACAGAACAAATTATCATAACCATGAAGCCCCCCTTTCCTGTTCCAGAAGGATACATCTTAACTAAGTTTAACAGTAAAGCTCTTACTCCATTCTTTTTAGAAAAACATCTTCAACTAGTTGTATCTACAAGTTAAGTAAACCTGAGGACATTTACAGTCGTAATACTCCACGTATCCGTATAAGTAGTGTTTTTATCAACTATGAGTGGCGGATAAAGTGAGGAGGGTCGTGACCAGTCCACTCTCAGCTGGAAATCTCCCGGGGCTGTTGCAGTAATATTCACCGGTGCTAGAGGGAAGAGAGAGAAAAGTTAAATAATCAACTGCACGCTTCCGATCATGCATTTTTAAACATTAATAAAACTGTTTAAGCGTATAGATTATGGACAGAGGTCTTGGATAAAGTAAATGAAGGAAAATAATATAATACGTACAGCATGTGAAATCCTGAACAGGTTGTAGTTCATAAGATCCTCCAGGATAAAATTCTACAGCAGCTACACGAGATGGAGAAGCGCAAGTCGCAGCCCTACTCTGAGAAAGGGCATTTATGACAGCGACAATGGAGTTATAGACGTTGCAGTCGCAAGCGAAATTGTTGTTATTAAGATGTCTGCAAAACAAATAAAAGTCATAGTGTGCACACGATACATATCTCAGTGAAAGTGATGGGTCATGTTTTTAAATATAAATCTTCGCGAAATTTGGACATTAAAAGAAAATTGAAATAAGATTTCATAGTAAATGTAACAGTTTTCGATCATTTATCGGGAATTTTTTTTAACCTGAGCCTTTTCATATTCTCATCACCTCACAAGTTTCAGAAATTATCTCGAGATTAAGCAGCCAAGTATGGGCATGTCAGTGCACTATTGTAACTGTACTCAGTTGTATCTTAAATGGCTACTTACAAAGTTCCTAGCTTTGGGAGTCCACCAAAACAGTCTTGACCAAGATTCTCTATCCGGTTATTCCCTAGGTTGCTAAAAACAAATAAATAAACGAAAAATCAGCCGAAGCACAAACTTTTATTGGAGTAACAAAAACTAACATTACTTATGACACTACTTGGCGAAGAAAAAAATTCATCAGATAAAACTAATGGTGGGAATTTTTTAGATCCTCATAACAGGTTTGATCTTCGTTTACCTAAAACTACAACAACACCACTGCTGTTCAGGAGATATCACTACACTGTGTGATACTTACAGAGTATCAAGATTGTTCAATTTGGGAAACGTGGGCAGAAAGACAACTTCATTTCCCTGCAAATATCTAAAAGAGAAAAATAAAGTGGGAGAGAAAAGCACAGTGCATTAAACAACATGACAGGCAAGGCCAGAAAGGAGTTTCAGATGTCTCTGTTTATCTACTACCAAACATAACTTAGGTTGAAGGCTGATAGTTTCTAAAGAAACTGTTTGGCGCTGCGTCGGTGGGGGTAACGAAATAATTTGAATATATCAACAAAGTTGAAATGGTAAATTGGCCACCGTTACGGCTATAAAAGCTGACGTTTCGAGCGTTAGCCCTTCTTCGGAGCGTATAGAAGAATTGTGGGTTGTGTGTGCTTTTAAAGGCAGAAAATGGAGCTACGTGATTGGTGGGAACATGGCAACGAGAAAAACACGAATAAATTAAAATTCTCGTTCCCATGTCCCCACCAATCACGTAGCTCCATTTTCTGCCTTTAAAAGCACACACAACCCACAATTCTTCTATACGCTCCGAAGAAGGGCTAACGCTCGAAACGTCAGCTTTTATAGCCGTAACGGTGGCCAATTTACCATTTCAACTTTGTTGATATATTCAAATTATTTCGTTACCCCCACCGACGCAGCGCCAAACAGTTTCTTTAGAAACTATCAGCCTT